CCTTTACTAGTATTAGCGGACCAATATAGACTTCTGTAGCCCAGGCCCAAAAAAATTTCAGCACCTCCGCTTTGGCAAAAAAAGGTAGTTGTATAATTAAGAACAGTATCTTGCAGGATTCAATAGTTGAAATTGTAAGAGTTGTTGCCCTGTCCCTTTCTCTGTGATTGTCATTCTAATGGAATCCAGAAAGAACAAAACCCTGTTCTCAAACATTTACATCAAAAGGTGCAAAGTTATGGGCAAATAAAATATTTTCCTTGATCAAATAGCATGGAAATCAACCACTTTTTGTGCAGTATTAATTTACCATCCTTAGAAACAAATTAATGTAAAAGGTTTGGACACACCTACTCATTCAAGGGTTTTTCTTTATTTGTACTATTTTTTACATTGTAGAATAATAGTGAAGACATCAAAATGCATATTGAAATAACACATGGAATCATGTAGTAACAAAAAAAGTATTAAACAAATCAATATATATTCTATATTTGAGATTCTTCAAATAGCCACCCTTTGACAGCATTGCACACTCTTGGCATTCTCTCAACCAGCTTCACCTGGAATGCTTTTCCAACAGTCTTGAAGGAGGTCCCACATATGCTGAGCACTTGTTGGCTGCTTTTCCTTCACTCTGCCGTCCGACTTATCCCAAACCATCTCAATTGGGTTGGGGGATTGTGGAGGCCAGGTCATCTGATGCAGCACTCCATCACTCTCCTTCTTGGTAAAATAGCCCTTACACAATCCCCCAACCCAATTGAAAACCAGATGGGATGCCATATCGCTGCAGAATGCTGTGGTAGCCATGCTGGTTAAGTGTGCCTTGAATTCTAAATAAATCACAGACAGTGTCACCAGCAAAGCATCCCCACATCATAACACCGCCTCCTCCATGCTTTACGGTGGGAACTACACATGCGGAGATCGTCCGTTCACCCACACCGCGTCTCACAAAGACATGGCGGTTGGAACCAAAAATCTCAAATTTGGACTCCAGACCAAAGGACACATTTCCACCGGTCTAATGTCCATTGCTCGTCTTTCTTGGCCCAAGCAGGTCTCTTCTTCTTATTGGTGTCCTTTAGTAGTGGTTTCTTTGCAGCAATTCGACCATGAAGGCCTGATTCACACAGTCCCCTCCGAACAGTTGATGTTGAGATGTGTCTGTTACTTGAACTCTGTGAAGCATTTATTTGGCCTGCAATTTCTGAGGCTGGTAACTCTAATGAACTTATCCTATGCAGCAGAGTTAACTCTGGGTCTTCCATTCCTGTGGCGGTCCTCATGAGAGTCAGTTTCATCATAGCGTTTGATGGTTTTTGCGACTGCACTTTAAGAAAATTTCAAAGTTCTTGAAATGTTCCGTATTGTCTGACCTTCATGTCTTAAAGTAATGATGGACTGTCGTTTCTCTTTGCTTATTTGAGCTGTTCTTGCCATAATATGGACTTGGTCTTTTACCAAATAGGGCTATCTTCTGTATACCCCCCCTGTATGCCAAGAGTGTGCAAAGCTGTCATCAAGGCAAAGGGTGGCTATTTGAAGAATCTGAAATATAAAATATAATATATTATAACACTTTTTTGGTTACTACATGATTCCATATGTGTTATTTCATAGTTTTGATGTCTTCACTATTATTCTACAATGTAAAAAATTGTAAAAATAAAGAAAAACCCTTGAATGAGTAGGGGTGTTCAAACTTTTGACTGGTAGTGTAAATGTACATTACTGTATTGTACATAGGCTGGTCATCTATGTTTGTACCTGTAGACTTTCCATCACCATGAAGAAAAACAATGCACAGTACAGTAATTGAGTACATTGAGACATCAAGTGTTTGTGATGATGTGATGATGTGGCTCAGTTGGTAGAGCATGACACTTGCAATGCTAGGGTTGTGGGTTCTATTCCCACGGGGGACCAGTACGAGAAAGTATGAAAATGTATGCATTCACTACTGTAAGTTGCTCTGCACACGAGTGTCTACTAAAATGGAAAAGGAATGAATAGACCATTTCAGTTTTCACATAGAAATAAGTTGCATTTGAAAAGTATTTCAAGAAACTGGAAAACATACTGTACATCAAGCAAGTATTTCAATATTCCACAAGTATTATCAGATTAACTGTTTTGTACAGATAATTATCAGACTCAAGTTACAAATGCTGGTAAACACTCCAATACATTTTGTTATTTTTTTCTCTCACAAAAGTAGTGCACTGGGCCTTTACTAGTCCTGTATTAGGGAACCCATATAGAAGTCTTCGGAGCAGCATTTATTTATTTTGCTTCCCCCTCGGAAATAAAATCATAGCACCCCCACCCCCACCCCCATCCCGCGGCTAGGAACTCAAGCTCTTGCTTGCTGAATGTTTAATAGCCTACAGCAGCCAATAGAACTCACTGGTAGTTTGAAAGAAGAGCGAATACGCGATGGCGGTAGGCTATAGCAGTTATTTATTCAGATCCATAACCATTCAATCTTCGTGAAGAGAAGTGAAAGACTTCTGCATCTAATTCTAGTCCTATATTATTCAAGGATGACATTATACAAATAGATCATATTATATTTCAAAACGTATATTAAATTCGCTAGTCTATACTTGTAACTTTGTAGGCTGCATGTGCTGCACCAGAATCGCATGTTCTCTTCCTGCTTTATCATGGTTTGAACGATGTGCGTAATTCCAGTCCATATAATACAGTATAATACAATACAGTACAGTAATACAGTCCACACTCAAAAAGATTAGCCTACTTGAGCTAGTTTCATTTATTTACCCAAGAGAGCATATAGCTAGCTACATCTATGGGCTTTTATGTTTTTGTCGTGCATAATGTGCAGTAGCCTATACCATACAGTGGCTTGCGAAAGTATTCACCCCCCTTGGCATTTTTCCTATTTTGTTGCCTTACAACCTGGAATTAAAATGGATTTTTGGGGGGTTTGTATCATTTGATTTACACAACATGCCTACCACTTTGAAGATGCAAAATAATTTGTTTTGTGAAACAAACAAGAAATAAGACCAAAAAAAGAACTTGAGCGTGCATAACTATTCACCCCCCCAAAGTCAATACTTTGTAGAGCCACCTTTTGCAGCAATTACAGCTGCAAGTCTCTTGGGGTATGTCTTTATAAGCTTGGCACATCTAGCCACTGGGATTTTTCCCTATTCTTCAAGGCAAAACTGCAATCTTTAAGTCATACCACAGATTCTCAATTGGATTGAGGTCTGGGCTTCGACTAGGCCATTCCAAGATATTTAAACGTTTCCCCTTAAACCACTCGAGTGTTGCTTTAGCAGTATGCTTAGGGTCTTTGTCCTGTGGAAGGAGAACCTCCGTCCCAGTCTCAAATCTCTGGAAGACTGAAACAGGTTTCCCTCAAGAATTTCCCTGTATTTAGCGCCATCCATCATTCCTTCAATTCTGACCAGTTTCCCAGTCCCTGCCGATGAAAAACATCCCCACAGCATGATGCTGCCACCACCATGCTTCACTGTGGGGATGGTGTTCTCGGGGTGATGAGAGGTGTTGTGTTTGCGCCAGACATAGCGTTTTCCTTGATGGCCAACCCTGATCTGTACTTCTCCATAACTTTGTCCCTGACCTGTTTGGAGAGCTCCTTGTGTCTTTCATGGTTGCCGCTTGGTCTTGGTGGTGCCCCTTGCTTAGTGGTGTTGCAGACTTTCATGGACTTTCAGTAACGGTGTATATATACTGAGATCATGTTGACAGATCATGTGACACTTAGATTGCACACAGGTGGACTTTATTTAACTAATTATGTGACTTCTGAAGGTAATTGGTTGCACCAGATCTTATTTAGGGGCTTCATAGCAAAGGGGGTGAATACATATGCACACACCACTTTTCCGTTATTTATTTTTCAGAATTCTTTGAAACAAGTTATTTTTTTCATTTCACATCACCAATTTGGACTATTTTGTGTATGTCCATTACATGAAATCCAAATAGAAATCCATTTAAATTACAGGTTGTAATGCAACAAAATAGGAAAAACACCAAGGGGGATGAATACTTTTGCAAGGCACTGTATATGTAGCCTATTGGATAACGGCACAATCATTTGGCCTTTTTTGGGCTTGGGCTTTTTTGGGCTTGGGCTCATTAAATGTCTTTAGTGTAGGGCTCATAGAATGTATTTAATGTATGCTCATCAGGCTCAGGTAGCATCAGGCTTGAATTTTTGATCAAAGCTCTAATCACATCCAGACATAGGCCTATTTATATGCTTTTGAATGACACCGGGTTACCCGGGAGAAAAGTGATTTATTCTCAGATTGAACATTTGTAAAATATTCAACCCTAGCAGTGACACTTACCCTTACACTCCTCTGGTGTGAGTCCATCCAGGATCTTTATATTGTCCAGCGCGATGTGTCCTGTGCTCCTGTCTCCCACTCCCTCAATCACCACCTAGGAACAACAACACAAACACAAAGGTGAAATACTGTGTATTACTTTTGACAAGGGCACATATAGTTAATTAATAGTGCACTACTATACATAGGGAATAGGGTGCCATTTGGAACGTAACCTAGGTCTAAGAGTTTCATAACCTAGGTCTAAGAAGCTCGTAACTTAGGCCTAAAAGGGTGAGGCCTAAGAGCCTTCTGAAGTTTGTAATTTCCACTTAAACATTTCAGATGATACAAAACACTGTATCAACCCCCCAGAAAATGTCCATTAATTAACTTGGACGCCTGATGAAGACCTAAGGGTCAAAACGTTATGTCAATAAAATCACCTGGGAGCATGAACAACATTGTCCAGCGTTTTCCTTATTTTATTTTATTTTTTATTCATTATATTACATATAATAATTCACATTTCCTGTTGCTGAAGGATTATTTTCCTGCTGGAGCAAACTGGCTCAAATTAAGATCCTACATCTGTAGGTCTAAGAGGCTTGTAACCTAGCCTAGTGCTTTACCTCATAGGGTATGCTGGAGTGGGGCACCAACAGTCGTCCCTCCCTCCATCGGCTGCCCTGGTGTCCACTGACGGTCCAGAGCAGTGCCTCTGCCCGCCCCTCCTCTGTCTCTCTCCTCTGTTTGATGTGCAGGGTGCCAGCAGTGCTCCCCGAACATGTGGTACCAGAAGGACACACACAGGTCGGCGTCCGGGGCGGTTACAGGCAGGCTGGCTAGGCGTGCCACCCTCTCCTCCATCCTCTCCTCCACCACCACCCCCACCAACGCCACCTCCTCTACCTCTGTCTCCTCCTCCTCCTGCTCCTCCTCCTCCTCCTCCTCCTCCTCCTCCTCCTCCTCCATTTCGGTCTCAGCAGCCAGCTGCATGTAGATGAAGTTCCCTGGAACTCCTGTAGAGGGCAGTAAGAGACAAGCTAAGAGACAAGCTAAGTATTAGCTGAGTCCATGTTCATTGTGTTAGTCCTTATTTACTACAGTGTGTGCGCTGTGTGTGTGTGTGTATGTATGCAATCTGTGTGTGTGTGTGTGTGTGCACTCTGTTCTCTTCTCCTCCCACCCACCTGTGTGGTCCAGGTTGGGTCCTTTGTGGACGGTGGGGGCCCCGCTGGTCTGAATCATCCACTCAGCACCAGTATCCTTCTCCAGTGTCCAGCCACAGAACGACGGGTTGTCCGCCCAGCCAAAGTCACAAGCAAACCACAGGTACTCTGGAAAAGAGGTCAACCTTGTAAGTAACCACACTCGTTTCCTCTGGCTGAGTGTAACTATTCTACACAATGTGAAAAGAGAGTGAGGTAAGGAAGTGAATACATGTAATTTCTAATTTCCTTATAACAATTTAAAATTCCACTACCATGAAAATACTTTTGGACAGCTGAAGCAAGCATACCATTTTTCTTAAGGAAAAATTAAAATTTTTGTTTCCTTACAGTCTCTTGAAGGCACTCAAACTTAGATACAGTATTTCATATTTGACAAAAGACAGATTCACAGATCCAACATGTGTTTAGTACCAGGAGAAGGAAGAGTGAAGGGACCTTCCAGAGAGAAGGAAGAGTGAAGGGATCTTTCAGAGAGAAGGGAGGAGTGAAGGGATCTTTCAGAGAGAAGGGAGGAGTGCCACCAGAACAGAACAGAACAGTGATGAAGACTAAAATCATTTCCAGACCATACGCTACAAGTCAGAAACACATTTCCATCCCCACTATGCCAGCTCTGCACAGTAACCCTTTGGGCCCTGGGCAAAAGTAGTGCACTATAAAGAGAATAGGGGGCTACTTGGGACGCAACATGACACGGTTGCAGTGATTAACCAACGCATCCAAATGAATGCTACTGCTATGAATACAAAGAGAGTTTGTTTAGTTCTCAGACGTTGTTGTAGCAGTCAAAGAATAAGTTACTGTTGTTGTGCCCTCTGGTTGTTGTCATATGACTCCCTTGCTCAGTTCATTAAGACCCAATGTTCCTGTTTCTGCAGTTCAGTTTTTTCCTATAATGCACTATTAAGGGAATAGGGGCTGTTTGGGAGTCCCCCGCTGAAAGTAGACTAATCTAGAACAGGAACGGAAATAATGTTCCTTCTCTTTTGAGGCCTGGTTGCCAGATCTGTTTGTCCTTTAGCCAACTTCACTGTTGGCCTATGTCATACCCAACATGCTAACGAACAACAGAGGAGTTGGCGCAAGCAAGCAAGCAGGCAGGCAGGCAAGCAAGCAAGCAGGCAGGCAGGCAGGGCGGGGCGGGCGGGGCGGGCGGGCAGGCAGGCAGGGATGAAGTGAATGAGGCGGTAGTTTATTAGCGTTCTCACCTGGCACGAGTTCTCCCTCCAGGGTTGGGTCTGCCAATGTGGTGCCACCTGTCAGACACAGACGGGCACAGTCAGGGATACAAACACAGTAGATAGATACCGTAGATAGATATAGGTTGTTAACTGAGAAGGAGGGATGGAGAGAGAGAGAGAAAATGGGGGTTGTGAGAGGGATAGAGAGAGAGAGAGAGAGAGAGAGAGAGGAGGGAGGGAGGTTGTAAGAAGGATAGAGGGATAGAGAGAGAAAGGGTGGGTGTGAGTAGGAGAGAGAGCACCTGTTGTGTCATAGTCCTCCCCTCCTCCTGTTCCTGTTCCACTGTGACAGCTGGCCTGCTGGTTGTCACACTCTGACGTCGGGGCAGGCATGGTCACAGACGCAGTTGTGGTGGCAGCGAACGTGGTTACAGTAAACGTGGTCGCTACAGTCGTGGTCGGTGGGAGAGTTGTGGGCTCTGGAGGTAGAGAGAGGTAAAGAGAGAGAGAGAGAATTGGTCCCCAACCAAGGAGGGCCTACAGCAGCATCTAGATCTTCTGCATAGATTCTGTCAGACCTGGGCCCTGACAGTAAATCTCAGTAAGACAAAAATAAAAGGTCCAGTTGCCAGAACCACAAATACAAATTCTATCTAGACACCGTTGCCCTAGAGCACACAAAAAACTATACATACCTCGGCCTAAACATCAGTGCCACAGGTAACTTCCACAAAGCTGTGAACGATCTGAGAGACAAGGCAAGAAGGGCCTTCTATGCCATCAAAAGGAACATAAAGTTCGACATACCAATTAGGATCTGGCTAAAAATCAGTTATAGAACCCATTGCCCTTATGGTTGTGGGGTCTGGGGTCCGCTCACCAACCAGGAATTCACAAAATGGGACAAACACCAAATTGAGACTCTGCATTCAGGATTCTGCTAAAATATCCTCAGTGTACAACGTAAAACACCAAATAATGTATACAGATTTAGGCCGATACCCGCTAATGATCAAAATCCAGAAAAGAGACGTTAAATTCTACAACCACCTAAAAGGAAGCGATTCCCAAACCTTCCATAACAAAGCCATCACCTACAGATAGATGAACCTGGAAAAGAGTCTCCTAAGCAACACAAACAGACCCCACAGAGCCCCAGGACAGCAACACAATTAGACCCAACCAAATCATGACAAAACAAAAAGATAATTACTTGACACATTGGAAAGAATAAAACAAAAAAACAGAGCAAACTAGAATGCTATTTGGCCCTAAACAGAGAGTACACAGTGGCAGAATACCCGACCACTGTGACTGACCCAAAACTAAGGAAAGGTTTGACTATATACAGACTCAGTGAGCATAGCATAGCAGAGAGAGAGAGAGAGAGAGAGAGAGAGAGAGAGAGAGAGAGAGAGAGAGAGAGAGAGAGAGAGAGAGAGAGAGAGAGAGAGAGAGAGATTTAGGGACATGATCCCTCAAGCAGACCGTCTACAGGTCAACCTTTCTGATTGGATTAGGGGATATAGGGGTTTGTTTGCTTTTAGATGGTAATGTATCTGACATGGTGACACCAAGCAGGCTTCCAGGGCACATGTTCTGGCTAGAGATAGGAAATAATCCAGTAACATGAGACTATGGAGAGAGGCTGGTAGCTACTGGTAGCATGATCACTACAGATAAACCCTAGTCCGACGCAGGCAGAGAGGGGTGGAACAGAGGGGTTGAAATCAAGGTGTGAAGGTGATTTGGGAAAATAATTAAAGTAGATTGCTCATAGTTGATTTCCCGATGCGCCATTGTGAGTGTGTGTGTGCTCGCTCCCTAGTAAGTGTGTATATGCAGATGCTCTTTGATGTGGAGATTGTATTGATTTGGGACAGATAAAAGGAGTTGGAGCACGTGAGCAGCCAGCCACACTCTTCTTCTTCTCTCATTTTATACATTTAGCAGACAATCTTATCCAGAGCGACATACAGGAGCAATTAGGGTTAGGTGCCTTGCTCAGGGGTATGTCGACAGATTTTTCATCTAGTCGGCTCGGGGATTTGAACCAGCAACCTTTCGGTTATTAACCCAACGCTCTTAACCGCTAGGCTACCTGCCACCCTTTCCACCTCCTCTTCCTTCCTTCCTTCCTTCCTTCCTTCCTTCCTTCCTTCCTTCCTTCCTTCCTTCCTTCCTTCCTTCCTTCCTTCCTTCCTTCCTTCCTTCCTTCCTTCCTTCCTTCCTTCCTTCCTTCCTTCCTTCCTTCCTTCCTCCCCTCCACTACCCCACCGTCTGATCCTTATCTTCCTACCTACAAGGGTAACCAGATACCCCATACCAGACCCAGATATCCCCAACATCCCCAACCTTCAGTCACCCCCCGCCTTGCCCTCCCACTGTGACTGGTCCACCTCCCCTCCCTCACCCTCCCACTGTGACTGGTCCACCTCCCCTCCCTCACCCTCCCACTGTGACTGGTCCACCTCCCCTCCCTCACCCTCCCACTGTGACTGGTCCACCTCCCCTCCCTCACCCTCCCACTGTGACTGGTCCACCTCCCCTCCCTCACCCTCCCACTGTGACTGGTCCACCCCCCCTCCCCCCTCACCCTCCCACTGTGACTGGTACACCTCCCCCACTCCCACTGTGACTGATCCACCCCTCCTCCCTCACCCTCCCACTGTGACTGGTCCACCTCCCTCCCTACCCTCCCACTGTGACTGGTCCACCCCCCGTCCCTCACCCTCCCACTGTGACTGATCCACCCCCCTCCCTCACCCTCCCACTGTGACTGGTCCACCTCCCCTCCCTCACCCTCCCACTGTGACTGGTCCACCCCCCGTCCCTCACCCTCCCACTGTGACTGGTCCACCCCCTCCCCACCCCCACTGTGACTGTTCCACCCCCCTCCCTCACCCTCCCACTGTGACTGGTCCACCTCCCCTCCCCCTCCCCCTTCCCCCTCCAGCTCAGAGTCAGGGCAGCCTGCTCTGGTTGCCGCGTCAGCCTTTCATGTCTGTCATGTCCTAACCCTCCCACATAACACATAAAACATAACACACTCATTACACTTCCCACACTGACTGACAGGCAGGGTACAGTATATGACTGTCATCAAGCATGCAGTAAAGGCTAAATAGCTACTGCCCAAGTCTTGCCACTCATGCAGGTCTCAGGTCTGTAGTTAGGAGTAGGTGAGTGAAACCTATCTGAGATTTCATCTGTGTGAGGTCACTATGGTTGATGTCTAACTCTAGACCATGTCAGAGGGGTCCTTTAATCCTAATACTGTAACCCTAGCCTGGTCCTAGATCTGTTTGTGCGCTTGGTCAACTCTGTTGCTGTCGTTGTTAAACTGTTGCCATGACAATGAATGTGCATGCGTGTGTGCGCATGTGTTTGTCTGTCCTTCTGTTTGTCTGTCTGTATGTCTGTCTGTCTTGCTGTGATTGTGTGTGTGCTGAGATGTTTCTGCTAACTCACCATGGATCTCACAACCCAGCAGCTCCAGTCTGAGCCCCAGGCCATCGGGGGTGGCTCTCTCTGGGTAGACCCTGAGGAAGCGAGTCAGCAGAGGGCCCAGTGTACGCAGCTCTGGGGTGTCATGGTTCTGGTTCCCAATGAAGATCTGGAAGAGAGCCAGGAGAATAGAACAGCGATGAAGACCAAACAATTTCCAGACCGTACACTACGAGACAGAAACCCGTTTTCCGTCCCCAATGTGCCAGCTCTGCACAGTAACCCTTTGGGCCTGGGCAAAAGTAGTGCACTATAAAGAGAATAGGGGGCTACTTGGGACGCAACATAACAAGAAGGGTAATTTCAGCTAGGATCTAGGAGGGTTATGAAACTAATATTGAAGCATATCCTTAATATATTATTTAAAGCGAGAGGACATGTGAAAATAGTTAGCCCCTGCTGTGAGCAGGTAGCGGAAGTCCGGGACACCAGGCCTGCTACCACCATGGTGCCAGACCCTACCCAGCAAACCGGGAACATTCCCAGAACATTAGGTAAGATTCCCATTAAGTTCTAGTTAGGGTTTTATCTAACATTAGGATGTTAACATCGAAATAACATTCAGAGAATGTTTATGATCAAATATATTTATTTATATGTCCCCACAATGTTCTCACCAGACTGTTCCCACAACCTAATGAAACATTCTGGGAACCTTTAAAGAACAGATTAAATGTGTTCTGGGAATGTTCTTGTAACATCAGGTGAATGCTTTTTGCACCCTAAAAGAAACATTGTAGAATCATCATCACAACTGGACAGTTTTTGTGTTTTGGGAACATTTGCCGTGACTTAACATATGTTCTGGGAACCTTCACAGAACCAATTTCGGTTTGGTGGGTAGGTTCTTATGTTTCCACTCAAAGTGAAGCCTGGAGTGGCAGTTTGAAAAACACTCTGGCTGCCTCCCAAATGGCTCACTATTCCCTATATAGTACACTACTTTTAACCAGAGCCCCGGTCAAAAGTGGTGCACTATATAGGGAATAGGGTGCCATTTGGGATGCAGACTGGATGTATAGCTGAAGCCACAGAAATAGACTTCCTGTCTGTTCATCTTTGAAGACTGGAGGCTGGAAAGGAGCTTTTTAAAAAGACAAAGGGGGATATCTAGCATTACTTCCCAAATTGCACCCTATGGTGCAGTTTAGGACGTAGATAAGATCTCCCTCTGTCTGCCATAAATAAGTCCCACCATCTGGAATAGATGGATATTCAAGTCAGACTGTCTTGTGAAGGGGACAGGGAGAACTGAGAGTACTGCTGGATGTTTTGACTAGCTAGGTGCTGATGGTTTGCACACACACACATTTCATCCTTGACTTTACCAACAGGATATGTTGCACTCTTGTCATCAATCTTGTCAAAAATAAATTAAAAAATATAGAGTTAATCACAGGATTTTGAGCTGGAATTCAATACTTTTCACACAAAAAGCATTACAAGAATATTGACGTCTTGATTTTTCCCAAAGTAACGGTAAGCAGAATCAGGTAAATTGATAAAGCACACTTTCTTTAACCTCAATGTCAACTTGTTTTGACATCGTATTTGTTTTTAACTGTATATATTATGTATTGTGGACGTTTTCAATGTATTTTGAACACTTTCAGACAATGCGTTTAATCGTGTAGAAAAAAATGTGCGCACTAAAATTACAAACAGTTAACTCGAGTTAACTGATTAACTCTGACAGCCCTACTTTCTATTGATCTGTGGGTCTCTGTTGAAAAGAGAGGAGATGAATGCACAGGATACCAAACATGAATTCCCAGGTTGCTTCCCTTACCTTGGGCCTGGTGCTGTTGTCTTCCTTCACCATGGTCCAGTCAGAGCCGTTGTTGCTGTAGCCCACCTTGAACCTCTTCATAAACACATTCTTGTCTCTGTAGAAGAAGAAGAATACTTTATTGATCCATTTTACAAACAGGCAACTGAAATTGGTCTTCTGCTAAGATCCCAACCTCTCCGAAAGACACACAAACACACACTGGCTCGAACCCTCCGGTTTCTGGCCCACCTCTCTAACCTCTATGCTACCTACCTGTGGCGTCCTCCTTGGATGACCAGGCCACTGACCAGCTTGTCCTGGCCCAGGTCCATCTGCAGCCACTCGTTCCTGAAGGGCTGTCTGGTCTGTTGCTGGGTCCAGCCCGACCTCCCTGTCAGCAACCTGGCGTTCTCTGGTACCCACCCACGCTCTGCGTTCGACGACGCGCTGATCTGGGCGTCCGAGATTTGACCGGAGACCATCCCCAGCATGCCGGAGCAAGGGTAGTCTGTGAAATAGAGAGAGAGAGAGAGGGGGGCAGGGTGAAGCTGCTGTGTCCTCATGGGCTCTATAAGGTAATAGGATACAATTTCAAACACTTCCTGAGTCTGAGTGAGACAGTATGTAACAGCTTTCCCTGTGGAGATAGATCAACTCCCCCTAGTTCCCCAGTTATTCAGTGTTGAGGTCTATGTGAGTTCTTGTGTGATTTGGTTTTACCACTTCTCTTTGTGGGAACTCCCTGTGTGTGTGTGTGTGTGTGTTTGTGTGTTGTGTGTGTGTGTGTGTGTGTGTGTGTGTGTGTGTGTGTATGTGTGTGTGTGTGCGTGCGTGTACTGCATGAGGTAGCTGAGCTGAACTCACAGAGGCAATATAAGTGGAGAACACAAACAGAGACAGACTGTCTACTTCCTCCCTGTGTCATTCCAAACTCTTAATCACTTTGTACAGTATCACACACACACACACACACACACACACACACACACACACACACACACACACACACACACTGGCCCTGCAGTGAGAAAGAGTGTAATACCATCTTTATGATGTTCTCCTGCTGAGGGAAATAAGGAAGGATATGGATCTCTGGATGAACCATATGCTGTGCTTTGTAATATTGTAAATACTGCATGTACGATGACTCAACTTGCCTTTTTACCTTTTTCCATTGCACTTTTACAATAACAACCTAGCATGACCCTCAACCGGCTTAGGAAGCAGTGATTATTCTAAACCAAAAAGCTGTACACTGTCTTCTGTACAACCAAGAACAGAATTCATTAGATTTCTTAGAGCACTTACTGGGGAGCCAGGTATACAGTATATGGTCTATATTAGAAGTTAGGGGAAGAGTCAAAATATGTGTGCACTGCTTATGCATTTGTGTGTGTGTGTGTGCATACAGTTGAAGTCGGAAGTTTACATACACTTTAGCCAAATACATTTAAACTCTGTTTTTCACAATTCCTGACATTTAATCCTAGTAAAAATTCCATGTTTTAGGTCAGATAGGATCACCACTTTATTTTAAGAATGTGAAATGTCAGAATAATAGTAGAGAGAATGTTTTATTTCAGCTTTTATTTCTTTCATCACATTCCCAGTGGGTCAGAAGTTTACATACACTCAATTAGTATTTGGTAGCATTGCCTTTAAATTGTTTAACTTGGGTCAAACTTTTCGGGTAGCCTTCCACAAGCTTCCCACAATAAGTTTGGTGAATTTTGGCCCATTCCTCCTGACAGAGCTGGTGTAACTGAGTCAGGTTTGTAGGCCTCCTTGCTCACACACACTTTTTCAGTTCTGCCCACACATTCTCTATAGGATTGAGGTCAGAGCTTTGTGATGGCCACTCCAATACCTTGACTTTGTTGTCCTTAAGCCATTTTGCCACAACGTTGGAAGTATGCTTGGGGCCATTGTCCATTTGGAAGACCCATTTGCGACCAAGCTTTAACTTCCTGACTGACGTCTTGAGATGTTGCTTCAATATATCCACATAATTTTCCTTCCTCATGATGCCATCTATTTTGTGAAGTGCACCAGACCCTCCTGAAGCAAAGCACCCCCACAGCATGATGCTGTCACCCCCGTGCTTCATGGTTGGGATGGTGTTCTTCGGTTTGTAAGCAACCCCCTTTTTCCTCCAAACATAACGATGGTCATTATGGCCAAACAGTTCTATTTTTGTTTCATCAGACCAGAGGACATTTCTCCAAAAAGTACGATCTTTGTCCCCATGTACAGTTGCAAACCGTAGTCTGGTTTTTTTATGGCGGTTTTGGAGCAGTGGCTTCTTCCTTGCTGAGCGGCCTTTCAGGTTATGTCGATATAGGACTCGTTTGACTGTGGATATAGATACTTTTGTACCTGTTTCTTCCAGCATCCTCACAAGGTCCTTTGCTGTTGTTCTGGGATTGATTTGCACTTTTCACACCAAAGTATGTTCATCTCTAGGAGACAGAACGCGTCTCCTTCCTGAGCGGTATGACAGCTGCATGGTCCCATGGTGTTTATACTTGCGTACTATTGTTTGTACAGATGAACGTGGTACCTTCAGGCGTTTGGAAATTGCTCCCAAGGATGAACCAGACTTGTGGAGGTCTACCATTTTTTTTCTGAGGTCTTGGCTGATTTCTTTTGATTTTCCTATGATGTCAAGCAAAGAGGCACTGAGTTTGAAGGTAGGCCTTGAAATACATCCACGGGTACACCTCCAATTGACTCAAATGATGTAAATTAGCCTATCAGAAGCTTCTAAAGCCATGACATCATTTTCTGGAATTTTCCAAGCTGTTTAAAGGCACAGTCAACTTAGTGTATGTAAACTTCTGACCCACTGGAATTGTGATACAGTGAATTATAAGTGAAATAATCTGTCTGTAAACAATTGTTGGAAAAATTACTTGTGTCATGCACAAAGTAGATGTCCTAACCGACTTGCCAAAACTATAGTTTGTTAACAAGACATTTGTGGAGTGGTTGAAAAACGAGTTTTAATGACTCCAACCTAAGTGTATGTAAACCTCCGACTTCAACTGTATGTGCATTTGTGTGTGTGTTTGAGAGCCACCTGGTGGTGACTGACCTGATGTATGCAGCTGTGTGTGCGTGCAAACGTGCGTGCATGTGTGTGTGTACCTGATGTCTTGCAGCCGTACACCTCGAAGCGCATGCAGATGCCTATCTCCCAAGACATGGGTCTGATGCGGACGTAACGGGCTAGAGTCTGCTTGGGTAGGAATGACCTTGCCTCGTCTGTAGGGTTGTTGTTCCCCTGGAAAACCTGGAGGAGGAAGTAGAGAACAAGAACCAGATTACTTTATTGTCCAATGTACACGGAGGTCCAACAGAAACGTATCTTCTGCTTTATTCCAGAAGAATAGAGAATAGAGTCACTTTTGTTAAATAGAAATGTCTGAATCCGTTATATAAAATATGACATATTCTTCTGGTATTATTTGTCCAGAGAACAGGAAATCTGGCCTAAAGTAACACTTTTTTAAAAACTGCATTGTTGGTTAAGGGCTTGTAAGTAAGCATTTCACTGTAATGTCTACACCTGTTGTATTCGGCGCATGTGGCAAATAAAATTTAATTTGATTTGAAATATGTATTGAGAAATGGTGTATTGTGAAATTGTGTATTGTGAAATTGTGTATTGTGAAATTGTGTATTGTGAAATGTGTATTGTGAAATGTGTGGTGTTGATGTCCAAATAAAACTGAACTCATTCTTTCTATTACTTACAATGTATCACTATTCTGTAACCTCTCTGGGTTTATCCTACTAGGGCATTTTTCCTGGCCACTGTGCCCTCGCTTCTGCTTTGGTTGCTCTTTGAGTTCAAGGTCGGGTTACAGTAAAGCTCTTTGTGACAATTGCTGATGTATAAAGGGCTAACTTATATCTTATGAGTCAGTCTTACCATCTGCTTGGATCCCTCCTTTATCGTGACCCAGTCCTCTCCATTGGAGCTCACGTCCACTTTGTAGGAGCGGACAAAGTACTCCTTCTTCGTCTCCTTGGAGATTGCTCCCTGTGTTCCCACGGCTGAAACAAAGCGGAGGAATCCCAGGTCCACCTGGCAACACAAACCAGGCAAGAACATCCAGTTAGCTAGAACCCTGTTAGCTCACACATTAGGCCAAACAGATATATAGAAATGAAAGGCCTGTACAGGGAATATTGCTGCACCTAAATCTTACAATGTTTCGACTTCACAAGTCTTCTTCAGGTGCAAACAAAGACAATAACCAAATAGTTTATTGGGCACAGGGCAGCTCTCAATGTCCTGCATTTGGCTGTACATCATATACAGCCTATAAAAAGAAAATTGCAAACATGCAATACAGGCCTACTATCCGTGTTAGAAAAGAGCTGACAGAAGCCACTTCGAGCTACCTGTCCGGGACGCTAGTGTTTGTCCCTAAAGTGACAGAGCCACTAACGGTCAGTTAAGATGTGGGTTGTAAGTGTTGATCATGTTAAGACACTCTGAATGAATAAACAGAGAGGCTGGGCCTGCATTCTGAGCAGGGCGGGGCCTGTTAGTCCCATTGTGGCGGACAGGATGAAACCAGTGGGAAGGCCCACAATGCCCCTGACGGTGAGTACAGGAGCGTTGGCCCTTCCTCTGGGAGCAGGGGCAGATCCACAGGAAGTCAGCTCCCCCGCCTGGCCAGCAGAGTAGAGTAGAGAGACAGAGAGAGGAACTCCATTGTCTGTCTGGGGAATTCCTGAGCTGCATCCCAAATGGCACCCTATTCTCTAGATAGTGGATAACTTTTGACCCGGGCCTATAGGGCTCTAGTCAAAGGAAGTGAACAATATAGGGAATATGGTGCTATATGGGTCTCAACCCTGGTCTCTCAAGGGCACGGGGGCATGGAGGGCAGGGCTGCCTGCTGGCTTCACTGCTGCTGTTGGCTTCATGTATTAAATATTGATGTGCTTCAAAGTAGCTGGAGCACAGTGCGGTTGGTTGCTATGTGATAATAGTGTAGGTGTGTTTGTTTCTGTGCATTTGTCTTGAGTCAGTGGCATGCTTTTTTGCGTTGTCAAATTAAAGCATTTTCTTTCAGAGTATCCTCCAAAAGAACTGTTAGAGGGTGTCTTTGAGATAATATTGATTTATAGACACAAAAACAGTGCAACTCCATTCCTTCTTCTTTTAGGGGGTTTGAATTATGAGGTGTTTTCTAGGTGCATCATTTTCCATTTCGTTATGATGAAGTATGCTACAGTAAGTGACCCACTCTGCAGCATGATGCAGCTAGCCAGAGGCAAAGTTCCAAATGGCACCCTATTCCCTAAAGTGCATTACTTTTGACCAGGGCTCTGGTCAAAAGTACAAAAGGAGTGCACCATGTAGGGAATAGGGTGCCATTTGGGACGAAGACAGAGTAATGCTCCATTCATCTTACTTCAGCTGAATATAATGAGCTACCTAATTCATGCATGCGTGCCGTCGCTACATAAAATTATATTATTCATGCGTCGAAAGTTTATATATTATTGATACTATTTCCAAGACACCATTTTTCACCATGTTGTCATTTTAATGTGGCCTGGCAGTAATTTGGATGGTGGAGGACAGGAATTGGTATTATGCTGATTCATTGCATCATCTTGGCTTTTATATTAAAGGGATATAGCTGGGCCCATTGTCTATAGTCAGAAACTGCCAACCCATCACTGTGTGTAATTAATCCCCAACATGGCTGTTTTTGATGTACATAAGAGTTGAATTACAATGAGATTGACATGTAATTGAAACCTGTGAAGTAAGCTCATGCAGGAAAGGTTTCCTTCCTCTCCAAAGACAAAGCATTTATAGAGGTATACTGCTTGAGGAGAAACGTTTGTCATGGGTCTGTGACGTAGGGAACCAGGAAAGGGCTGTACATCTGCAGAACATATTTGGGCCTGGCTGTGCTGTGAGTGAATGTGTTGTTAGAGGACAGAGAGGAAAACAAAGGAGTCCTCAGAGACTGTTGGAGGAGCTCCCATCATCCCGAGACAACGTGAAGAATACAATACTTAGTTAGGTCGCATTTGATCCAGTGTCGATGGGCACTGTCCTGATCTTAACCAGATTAAAGCACTTTCTTGAGAAAACACGACGAGGTCTGACAAAGTGGGTCACAGCAGTCAGTCACAGCAGTCAGTCACAGTAGCCTAGTGCTGATTACAAGCTCTTCCTCTCCTCGCCATAAAAACACCAATATCCTGTTTTGAAGGATGTGCCAATGTTTTTGTTGAATCTCATTTAGTGACGGTCCGGCTGATGAATGCAGCCGTTTCTACCTCTTATTGTTTTCTCCATTAAACGCCTGAGCGGAGGGTTTTATTTACAGCCGCAGAGTGTTAGCGCTGCCAAGTGTTGAGTAATTAGGAATAGCATCAGTCTTTTCATAGAGGAAGTCTGGCCAATAGGCTTGGCCGGCCACTGCGGAGCTCATGTCACATAGAATAGGAGCCGCTGGACAGAGTGTTCAGTTCAGAGCTTTCTATTGCAATAAAGGGCTCCCGTTCAGTTGTGAGATCAAGTTGAGACTGAGACTGAAGCTCAGAAACAAGGTCTTTCCTGCCAGGACAGACCAGGACACTGTCCAAAACCCCTCTAGTTTGTACTCAAGCTGCTTATCTGTCTACCTTTTGGCAAACATTCTCAGCATTTTTCAATTTGTTCAGATTTGTTGATGGGCACTTTGTTTACAATGCTGTGCATGATTATGATTCTCAATTGTATCAAGGGTTACAAGTATGTGTATCAAATGTCCAAGTGGCTCAAAGAGTCTAACAGCGTAGCTTGTGTGCTATAAGTAGGTTGCCATGAATTTTTAGAAGGCGGAGGAGAATAGAAAGCAGGGATTTTTCCAGGATCGGCTACAGTAAGGAACACTACAGCCCCGACATACAGCACCAGTTCCCAACGGTACTCTGTCACTTACACGGTCCACACAAATCCATGGGGGCTATTTCTTCCTCTCCCAGAAAAGAGAAAGGGAGTGAGGCCAAAACAGGACACTGTGGTGCCTTCCCGTCCTTCAGACTACACTATGTATACAAAAGTATGTGGACTCCCCTTCAAATTAGTGGATTCAGCTATTTCAGCCACACCCGTTGCTGACAGGTGTATGAAATCGAGCACACAGCCATGCAATCTCCATGGACAAACATTGGTAGTAAAATAACCTTACTGAAGAGCTCAGTGACTTTCAACGTGGCACCGTCATAGAATGCCACCTTTCCAACAAGTCAGTTCGTCAAATTTCTGCCACGGATTATCTGCCCCGGTCAACTGTAAATGCTGTTATTCTGAAGTGGAAACATCTAGGACGGCTCAGCCGCGAAGTGGTAGGCCACACAAGTCCACAAAACGGGACTGCCGAGTGCTGAAGTGCGTAGCGCATAAAAATCGCCTGTCCTCGGTAGTGACACTCACTACGAGTTCCAAACTGCCTCTCAAAGCAACGTCAGCACAAGAACTGTTCGTCGGGAGCTTCATGAAATGGGTTTCCATGGCTGAGCAGCCGCACACAAGCCTAAGATCACCATGCGCGTCGGCTGGAGTGGTGTAAAGCTCGTCGCCATTGGACTCTGGAGCAGTGGAAATGCGTTCTCTGGAGTGATGAATCACGCTTCACCATCTTGGAGTCCGACGGACGAACCTGGGTTTTTGGTTGATGCCAGGAGAAAGCTACCTGCCAGAATGTATAGTGCCGACTGTAAAGTTTGGTGGAATAGGAATAATGGTCTGGGACTGTTTTTCATGGTTCGGGCTAGGCCCCTTAGTTCCAGTGAAGGGAAATCTTAACGCTACAACATACAATGACATTCTAGACGATTCTGTGCTTCCAACTTTCTGGCAACAGTTTGAGGAAGGCCCTTTCCTGTTTCAGCATGACAATGCCCCCGTGCATAAAGCGAGGTCCATAAAGAAATGGTTTGTCGAGATCGGTGTGGAAGAACTTGACTGGCCTGCCCAGATCCCTGACCTCAACCCCATTGAAAACTTTTGGGATGAATTGGAACGCCGACTGCGAGCCAGGCCTAATCACCCAACATCAGTGCCCGACATCACTAATGCTCTTGTGGCTGAATGGAAGAAAGTCCCCACAGCAATGTTCCAACATCTAGTGGAAAGCCTTCCAAGAAGAGTGGAGGCTGTTATAGCAGCAAAGGGGGGAACAACTCCATATTAATGCCCATGATTTTGGAATGAGATGTTCGACGAGCAGGTGTCTACATACTTTTGGTCATGTAGTGTATGTTTCTGCACTATTCTGGGGTAATGTAATGACATACCAGGATTTACAGACATCCCATGATTCGAAGAACAACATATTATCATGCAATGGGGTCAAACAATGGGGGATGTCCCATTTGATAAATGTTGTGTTTTTTCCTATCAGTTCCATGATCAGTTATTACATTTGGTTGTATTAAAAGACATTATAACCCTTGCATTAATCCTGGAATTCTGTTCTGTTTCAGGAAACGAGTGAAATCTTGATTGACATGTTCCTGTTCAGTTAATAGTGTTTGGAGTGTGTTTGTAGTAGTGTTACATAAGAGCCTCATATAACAATCTGCATTTACAACAAGAGGCATCCCCCTGAGGTTGTTGCTAATACAAAACTAGATTATAGAAATCATGTCCCTTTTGGATAGTTTGTTTACAGTGTGCATAGGTAGGAGCTTAATCAACTGAAGGGGTCTCAGACGAAAGCCTACGCACCTGCTCTACTGAGCCCCTGTGTCTGGTACCGACATCCAAGCTGTTTGGTTCTGTGAAAAGAAGATGCTGCACCTAACCGCAGAAAAATCCCCTTCAGCTAGAAGATGCTTACTTCTCCCTTATGAAATGTCAAATGTCGCAAGATGATACTGTCTAGTTCCTGTATGAGGAGTCCAGTATCGGTCAAACCCATGTTTTTGAAGTTATTAAAATACTGACAAGATGATTGGCGCTACAGGGATAGGTAGATTTATTAAGCTGTTGTTGTTAGGGGAAGTCACGCTAGGAAGGGTTGGGGAGGCTTTATAAGTTACAGGATGTCTTAGACACCTCGCAGAACTTATGAAGAGCTATACATATCCTGTTGACTCTGTATTAACTTCTGCCTGCAATTGCATAACTAAAGATATTTTACATATACTCAGAAGCCGTTGTCTGTGTCATTTTCTAAAGTTTAAAGTTTGTTTAAGAATAAGAGAATATCAGCACTGTGCAAAGAATCCTCAACACAACCCAAACGCCAACTAGTCTCGTCAGTCTGGCCTCTTGATCACAATATGTCTTGTTTGTGACTTGGTGCTGTTTATTTTTTGGCTTTTGTAGGTCTGGCGTCATTCTCGATCATCCTCATGACCTGTGCTACTACAATCTCTCTCTCTCTCTCTCTCACACACACACACACACACACAAAATCAGACTCGCGCAGACACACACACATACACTAGTGTACACACACACACACACACACACACACAATCACACACACACACACACACACAATCAGACTCGCACAGACACACACACACACACACTAGTGTACACACACACACACAATCACACTTGTGCACGCATGCATTCCCACAATCACACACACAATCAAACACACAATCACACACACTCACTCAGTAGCTGAACAGGTAGCTGTAAAGGACTAAACACACTGTCCCGACGAGTTTGAATACCCAACTCTTGCTCAATCCAGTGCTTAATGTGCAGCCATAATGTTTTATATGCACCAATAGGATTAGTAATGTCACTGACAGACACAAGGAAACCCTATTCCTCTATGTAGTGCACTACCTTTGACCAGTGCGCATAGGGCTACAAAGAGAATAGGGTGCCGTTGGGACGCAGACACCACACATGTAACCCAGCTGCCCCAGGGCCGTCTCTCTTTCTCTTACCTGTATCCACTCTCTGGCAGAGTCTTCTGAGGGGGTCCATCCGTTCTCTTTGTAGTTGAGTCTGGAGCGTTCTGGGGACCAGTTGGGGTTGTACTGAGAGGAGGCAGTGATCTGATCTGAGATGATCTCTCCCGACTCCATCCCCAGGCCCTCCACACAGGTAAAGTCTGTCAGAGGAGAAATAAAACATGAGTTACACTTTATTTGGATAGTCCCCTAGAGATGATCTACATACTACAGATTAAATTATCAACAAACTATCAACTGCAACTCTGTTGTTACACAACAATTTGCTGAGGTTATGGTTTGAGTTAGGGTTGGCATTAGAGTTAGGGTGAGGGCTATGAGTCTCCATCCTCTGTCCTGTCGTGTCTGTCTAAAGCAGTGTTCAAACTTTTTCAGCAGGGACACCATTTCTTCCGGCAGAATTTCAGGGTACCACATTTCATTTTATTTATTTATTTTTTTATTTTTTATTTTTGGGGGGTGGAGGGGGGGGGGTGGATCAGCTTAATATTGCAGATAGATTGTATCTTCTATCAATGTAATTGTCTGCATCACTTCCAATCCCCCATGTTTTTTATATATATACTCCCCTTTATTACTTTTCAACCCCACCATCCTTTCCCTACTTGGAGTAAATTAGTGAACAACAATGCCCAGGCCTCTACTTCCAGTCTATACTTACTATCTACACCTTATGGACACAGTTAATTTTACAATAATTCTATTATATATATATATATTTGTTTTTTGTTTTTTATTATTATTATTATTATTATTATTATTTTTCGCTCCTGAACTACTTCTACTCTCAACCTCTCCGATCATTTTCATGATGTCCATCCGGTTTGCTTCTATATGCCATATCTTTCTAACTGTGCTCTTTCCCAAAAGCTCCCAACATACAACCTATATACTTATTATGGACACAGTATGCTTACATTATTAGCTATCTTTGTTATTATTTGTTGTTATTTGTTATTAGTCCCATCCTTCAACTATATTCAAATGAAAAGAAACCAATAAATATTTTTACTCAATAAAATTGTATTTTTCTAATTATCTTTCTCAAAAATGTTTGTATACTGTCCCATACAATAATCTGTACTCTTTATTTTTTGTTCCTCATTTTGAATACCACTGGTCTAAAGAGACACTATTTGCGTGACTCAGAGAGGTCTCAATCTCAAAGACAATTAATGAGTAATGCAATGGAAATTAACTGTATTTTACTGGAAACTAAAAGTTAACATGTGCCAAATACAACAGTGAAATGCTCAGAAGAAGAGAAGAGTATGGTCTTGTGTATCTCAACTGGACGCGTTAAAAGATTACCCATTCAGAACATTTTGTAAGGAGCTAGAGAACACCAAATTCCTCTGATTAGTTGTGGTTGTAAATGCCTCACTCTCAACGCCCCCGGAGTAGTACATCGAATGCCTGTCTTTGTTAGTGTCTGTTTGGTGACCGCAGGTTCAGGCTAGGTTCGCTGCCCTGACGCATGCACGCTTACCCCCAATTCAATCTCCTTAATGCTGAGTGCCAAGCAGAGAGGCACTGGGTCCCATTTTTATCAACTCTTTACAGCTGTAAAATACCACTGGTTGGTGTTCATGTTCATGTTCGATGACACAAACTCATCAGGAGAAGTTGTCAAAAACATCTCAAACAGACTCCATGTTGAAACTCCCCCGGACTCCTACGGTGATTTAGGGCCTTGCGACCTGTCCTTCTGACCCCGGTTGTAGGAATGTGTGTGTGCGAGTGCTTGTTTGTGTTTGTGTACGCACACTCACACACGGCTCCCATCAGATTGTAAATCTGTCCACATAGCCTTTCTCTGGATGGCTAAGAGCAGTGCTGGTGTTAAACAAATCTCTAATTATCCCAGATGGCTGTAGAAACACACACATAAATACACACACACACACCCTCCGTGGCTCGTGGCTGGCTAGCTGTGTGTTTTCACAGTGGACCCACACAGAGCAGAGTGATGACTGGTCTTGTCACCAGGCCTCCAGCTAAGCGTGACAGATTGAAATAAAGGCCCCATGGTGAACCCAATCACATAGCCTTTTCCACAGCATTAGTTCCCTATCAGTCTGTGTGGTAGTATAAATGTGTGTGCCTAAATGTTCTTAAAACTGTTCTGGGAAAACTTTAGATACTTTTTCCCATTACGTGGGAGGAAGGTTGGTGGAATGTAATATTCTCAGAAATCAGTATTCCTCCTATTCCCCCGATGGCTTTATCTTATCTATAACAGTCAGAAACACCCCATACTGTGACTTTGAACTGTGAAAAATAGTCTCTGATAAGGTCTTTCCTTTCGATTGCAATGATATGTAGATATTTTGATGTTCTGTCAATGCCTGCTGAGAGAATGGAACAGAGGAAACTCATGAATAGAAATGAGAGAATTAGCAGAGCGCTGAGGAGAGATGGAAGGAGGGACAGAGACTGTTTAGATTCTCTGCGATGGGGTCTCGTAAGTCCATCCTGCCTCTGTGTGTATGAGAGGAGTCTAAGCAGACCTTATGTCTACAGTCAGTCCCACACACACACACGCTGTCCTTCCCCACCTCCCTCTCCCTGCCCTCATCCCACCTACTGTGAGTTCGCTTAAAGCCGGACACTCTGGCCCCAGAGAAAAGTCAGCTTCTGGCCCTGGGCCTTTCTAGCTTGGACAAGGCCTACTTTAACTTGAGGTAGTAGGTCATTCTAACCCTCTGGTGTCTGTCCCTGACGTAGGCTGCTCTCTCTGACAGTGTAGTTGGCTGAGAAGCCCTCTCTGGCGATGGCGTTGTCTGTGTTGATGGTCATAGAAAGGATCCCTGTGTAGGAGATGACCCGGCCAGGACTGCTGTTACCACAGTAAAATCGCCCGATGTGGGGTCCCACTGGGTGAGAGAGAGAGAAAAGAAGAGAGAGAGAGAGAGAGAGAGAGAGAGAGATAGAGAGAGAGAGAGAGGAGTGAATAGAGAGAAGATAAAAGAGTCGCGAGGTCGCTCGCTCTTCTCTGAGACCTCTATCTCTCTCTCTGTCTTCCTCTCGCTCCTGCTCTCTCATTCTCCTCCTCTTCTCTCATATCTCTTTCTCTCTCTCATCCTCTCGACTCTCCTGCCTTCCCTCTCTCGATTCTCATCTAAGAGAGAGAATGTACGAAGAACCCACTAGATTATTCATCCAAAGTTACATCACAATTTCTTCCTTCAATATCCCATGTTGTGATTGATTCTGCTTTTCTACAATCTGTAATAATAGCCTCATTTACTGCACAGTTTCCATTCTAGAATGCACTTTTTCTCCATTAAAATGTTCACTAACTTTCACTCTGTTATCTGACAAAACATCCTATCGTGATCGTGTGACAACCATTAGAGGATAACAGGTTGGAACTTTCTGATGATCTCAGGTCTCACCTCATTTGTGACTTTACACCTTGTGTCAAAAACAGACGTGACATGTCAGGTAGCAGAGACTATGGAACGTTCACAGTGTTTATCATTAACACATGTTCACAGCCAATATATAACAGGTCTGGTACAGAACAAATATCTCTCATCTCCAATTATGTGTCAAGAATTCTCTGATGCTTCTCCTTTTCCCTTTTTTGTTTCCATTTCAAATACATGTTGATTTGATTTCTCTGTATAGCTCTATCATCTGGGATCCAGGCTACATTGTGTTGCCTACTATCTGGGCTGTCAAATATGTACACACCTCAAACACAAAGCTTTGGCAGACCCCCGGGACAGAAAACACATAGGTCTATTGAGAGACATGCCCGGCCTGGCATGTTTACAGTACAAGCCCAGCTGTGAGGTGTGTGATTGTTTGATCCTGGTGTGTTTCTATAGGGCTGTGCCAGTCCCTTCCTTGGGGCTGTTTCCCAAATGGCACCCTATTCCCTATTAAGTGAACTACTTTTGAGCAGGGCCCATTGCGATCTGGTCAAAGTAGTGTACTAAATAGTGAATAAGCTGCCATTTGAGACGCAGACCCTAGCCTGGCAAGGCCCTAGTATACAGGAAGAAGTCTCAGGGAGCCAGACAAAGCAATGTGCCCAGCCAGGCACTCCTATGATGCTTGTCAATGTACATTTCCTCCCATTCTCCTCAGACCCAATCACACAACAATGGAGACTGGGCAACGCGGTCCAGTGAAACAACATAATTGTAGACAATGAATAGTGTAGGTTCTGCCTGTCTCCTTAATGTGCTGGGCTAAATCAATCTGTGTGGCCTGGTGGATGAAAACAAATATGTTTCTCTCGCTCTCTCTCACCTGCAGGGAACCCGTCCCAGATCTCCAGCCAGTCGTAGCGACAGAGTGCCCCGGGGGGAGGGGTGGTGTCAGGCTCCATGTCGAACGCGTCGAAGTCCACCACGATCTCTGACATTTTGGGGGCGATGATCATGAAGGTGCAGTCCAGGTTGTTGGGGTACTTGTCTGGGAAGCCTGGCGTCTTTATAACACCCTTGGACGAGGTGAAGTTTCTAGAACACTCAGGTCCTGAGGAGAAGATTGAAATAATATGCATTGTATGTTAAACTTTGCATGTCTTTATCCTGTTTTGGTGAATAATATTTGGGTCCATGGCTGTATTTTCGTGGCTTTGTGCTTGTATTTAATGTATTAATGCTGTTATTTAGCTCCATAATTACTTGTCTGTAACACTAATCATACAGCACTTGAGAATCTGAAAGCAAGCAATATGTTGCCATAACTACAATGTTGTCACTTGGGCTTATATAGACCACTGTTAGCAGGGGATCATGGGTTCCTGAGTCCATTTACTCCATTATCACTGAGGTGTCCACTGAGCCTGTTCCTATTGGTCACACCCTCGGTGCCACTGGCTGGCTCTGTCTGTGTTTTGACTGGGAGGGCGCCTGGTATTTACTGACTGCTGTAGTCAGACACAGACGCCCTGAGTTGTTTTTGTAGACATCGGTTGCCCGACAAACCCCTCACCCCTACTCCACCTCAGCCCAACAAAACCCTCACCCCTACCACCTCACCCCAACAAACCCCTCACCCCTACCACCTCACCCCAACAAACCCCTCACCCCTACCACCTCACCCCAACAAACCCCTCACCCCACCACCCTCCCTAACAAACCCCTCACCTCCACTCCACCCCACCCCAACAAACCCCTCACACCCACCCCCAACCAAACCCCTCACCCCCACCCCACCCTAACAAACCACTCCACACCCACTCCACCCCACCCCAACAAACCCCCTCACCACCCCACCCCCAACAAACCCCTCACCTCCACCCCACCCTAAAACACAACCACGTCACCCCCCACATCCACCCCCACCCCCAATGAGCTTCAGTCAGGAAGAGTACCATTCCCCACTGTGAGGAGATAAAGTCACTGTTGCTTTGGCCTTGTACACATTATGGCATTGTACACATTCAAGTTGTACAACTGATGTACAAGACGTTTGACACAACGGGTGATACAACTGATACATTTGTAACACAACGGAGAGTTTGTCTGCACAAAAATGTTTACACAACCATTGTGTGGTGTCTCCACAATACTTGTGTAATTATTTTTGTGTAATAACCATTGTGCTAAATGCATTGTATAACTGAGTGTGTACAGGGCCTATGAACCTGTAGGTAGACCACCAGATGCCTATGACGACAGACACAGTTCACCTCAGTCCAAAAGCCAGGGAGTCAGTCGACTGTCTCCTCCCTGTCATAAAGTGACATGTGCAAGCCAAGGTTACTGTTGTAATGTTGACTGATCTTTGTAGAGAAGATGAGATAACAGACACACAGTGTTGATGAGGGTCACTGACCCACAGGAGAGAGATGTGCCTTTCGTGTTGCCGGGCCAGATGTGACCTCTGATACATGAGAGCATGCAACATGAAAGAGAAGAGTAAGGGTTCCGCTCAGTTGATGTTCACACCGTTGGCGTCATTACATGGGGGACATGATAAACAGCATCAGAGGAGAGGCGGGCAGGTTTTGATCTGGCTCAGCTGGTGTGAGAGAGAGTGTGTGTCTGTGAGAGAGAGAGAAAAAGAGAGAGAGAGAGAGAGAGAGAGAGAGAGAGAGAGAGAAAGAGAGAGAGAGAGAGAGATGAGAGAGAGAGAGAGAGAGAGAGAGAGCGAGGAGAGAGAGAGAGAGAGAGAGAGAGAGAGAGGGAGTGTGTGTGTGCTCTTGCCTGTACATTGTGTCAATCAACTAACCTCCTGCCAAACTCCACCCACTTGGACGGAGAACTTTCCCTGTCTAAGCCGCAGTTTGATGTGTTCCTGGAAAAACGTCAGTCTTTCAAAACCACCAGACATGTGTTTCTGGTTTGAGGAATGGCAGTGAAACGATAGTGAGAGGAGAGAGCTAGACAGATATAGTCTCATGGTTCTGTGGAACACCCAGTGTGTATCATTTATAAGATCACTGGTACATATTATGTGGTCAATGAGTGGAGGAGTTCTGGATATGGCGGCCGGATGTGTTCCAATCGTTCTGCATTCCAAATGGCACCCTATTCCCTATTTAGTGCACTACTTTTGACCAGGGCCCATAGGGCTCAGATCAAAAGTAGTACACTATGTAGAGAATAGGGTGCCATTTGGGACACAACCACATTCATATAGTCACCCTGACGATACGCTATCTTTAACACAAATGGTGCTTGTCATCATCACGAGAGCAGTTTATGACCATTTCCAGTGTCGCTTTTCTTTCGTCGTAAAGATAGACCTGTAGCCAGAGTCGTAGCTTGGCTTGTCACAGTATATTACACTTCCTAAATGGGAGCAGAGCCATAGAGGTTCCATAGAGGGACAAAGCCATAGAGGTTCCAAAGAGGGAACAGAGCCATAGAGGGAGCAGAGCCATAGAGCAGAGCCATAGAGGGAACAGAGCCATAGAGGGAACAGAGCCATAGAGGGAACAGAGCCATAGAGGGAACAGAGCCATAGAGGGAGCAGAGCCATAGAGGGAGCAGAGCCATAGAGGGAACAGAGCCATAGAGGGAAAACAGAGCCATAGAGGGAACAGAGCCATAGATGGAGCAGAGCCATTGAGGGAGCAGAGCATAGAGGAGCAAGCCATAGAGGAACAAGCCATAAGGGAACAGCCCATAGATGGAGCAAGCCTTGAGGGAACAGAGCCATAAGGAGCAAGCCAATAGAGGGAGCAGAGCCATAGAGGGAAGCAAAGGAACAAGCCATAGAGGAACAGAGCCAATAGGGGAAAGCAGAGCCATAGGGAACAGAGCCATAGAGGGAACAGAGCCTAGGGGAACAAGTCATAGAGGACCAGCCTAGAGGGAACAAGCCATAGAGGAACAGAGCCATGAGGGAACGAGAGGAGCAGAGCCATAGAGGGAGCAGAGCCATTGAGGGAACAGAGCCATAGAGGGAGCAGAGCCATAGAGGGAACAGAGCCATAGAGGGAACAGAGCCATAGAGGGAACAGAGCCATAGAGGGAACAACAGGGCAATATGCTTTTGTGACTGTAATGGATTTGAAATGTGGCAAGAGTGGAATGGAACATGTCATGGGATTATATAGGCAGGCTGAAGTCATACATATGGCAGGTAGCCTGGAGGTTAGAGTGTTAGGCCAGTAACCGAAAGGTCGCTGGTTCGAATACAGGAGGCGACAAGGTGAAAAATCTGTCGCTGTGCCCAAATTCCTCCAGGGGCGCTGGACAATGGTGACCCTGGCTGTGACCCTGCTCCCTGTGGGTGTCTCAGGGGGACTTGGGATATGCAAGAAACACATATCCATTACACACGTGTGTAACAATACAAATTATTATTACTTGTGTGCGTCCCAAATCGTACCGTATTCCCTATATAGTGTACTACTTTTGTCAAAAACGTGCATTATATAGGGAATAGGGTGCCATTTGGGCCAACCCCTTGGTTAGAGGGCCTACATTCGTCTCTCTAACCCCCCCCCCCTTCTGTCCGTTCAACTTATCCTTGCCAGAGCATTCATTAATGGCGGACCCCCTGACCTCCATGAAAACAGTTTATAATACCGGGGCGCTGCCCCCTGGTCCCTCACTCTCCCCTCCCCCTCCCAAACTCCCTCCCCTTTTCCTCTTCTCTCTCTCTCTCCCTTTCCCCTCTCTCTCCCCTCTCTCCCTCTTTCCCCTTCTCTTTCCTCCGCCCCTCCCCCCCTTTTCCCCTTTTTCGGTCTTCCCCCTTTTCCCTTTTCCCCCCTTTCCCCTTGTTAGGTCCCCTTTGTCGTTCAAATTTTCCCGGGGGCTCTCGCCGTCACCTCCCCTTTTTTGGCTTCTTTTTCCCCGGGTTGGCCCCCTAGGCCGGGCGGCGGGGAAACACTTTTAGGCTTCTCCCTAGCTCCTTCCTCTACGCCGTGCCCTGTTTTAGGGGAAGGTCGGCCCTTTGTGGACGTATTACCCCGTGGTATACGGTCCCAAATGAGGGTGCTGCTCTGGGTGGATAGAAGGGCGTTTAAAACCGTTCAGTTTAGGGAACCAATTTTCCCCCCGTACCGAGGCAGAGGGGAAAATAAACCCTTTTTCCCCGGCCTCCGTTGTTTCCCTTTCCTTTCCTTTTTCTCTCTTTTGTTGGGAGCGTTAAAGGAGGGCCCCCGTGCTAGGCTTGGCCGGGGCTTCCCCCCTTTTCCCCCCCTTCCCCCCTTTGGAAAGGGCCAAAATTTGGGAAAATTGCCCCGGGAAGCCCCTTTTTTTCCCTTTCCCCCCCCCCCGGTTTTTAAAATTCGGGGGACCAAAACTCCGGGGGGAAGGGCCCCCGTGGTTTTAAAAATTTTTTTAAAAAAGGGCCTTTGGGGGGGGGATAAGAAATTTTTAAGGTTTTGGTTCTCTCTCCGCTCGGAAAGGATCTCGACAGGAGAGGTCCGGAGAGAGGAAGAGAGGGAGGGAGAGAATCTGAAGCGAGCTCCTCTCTCCGTCTACTCTCTCTCTCTCCCTCTCTCTCTCTCTCCTCTCTCTCCTCTCTCTCTCTCTCTCTCTCTCTATGCTCTCTCTCTCTCTTTGCTCTCTTGCCGTCCGTCCGTCCTCAGTCCGTCCGTCCGGCCGTAGTCAGTCCGTCCAGTCCCGTCCGTCCAGGCCTGCCTGCCTTCCCTCCCCCCCTCCACTCCCAAGCTTCTCCCCACTAACACTTCTAGAGCCAAACGGCAGCAGGAACAACTCAGCAGGAAGACTTAGCAACAACAGGAAACTTGCTCCTACTGTATCCATCCCCATTCTCTAACAACCACGAGCACCAGGTGTGGATGGGAGAGATACAGGCAGAGACTCATAGACTTAGAGTCCAGCCAGGTAATGGGTTCCAAGCAGTGGTGATCGATGAAGGAAGAAATCGGAGGATGGGCTCATTGTCATGACTGGAATGGAATGAATGGAAAGGTATCAAACACATGGTTTCCATGTGTTGGATGTGTTTGATACCTTTCCATTCCATTCCAGCCATTACAATGAACCTGGCCACAATTGGTTCCAAGAGTAGTAGAGAGAGGTCTTTTCAGGAGAGTCAGTGTGTGTTGGACCTTCCTTATCAGATCTGTCCTGATTGTCTCTCAGTCAGCTGGATAGAGCGAGACTGGCCGGGCTGATAGGGATTGGATGAAGGACATGGGAATGAGGTTCCTTCCTTTAAAGGCTGATATGAATGTTTACAGTACTCTCCCTGACCTGTAAATCAAATCAAATTTTATTTGTCACATACACGTGTTGAGCGGATGTTATTGCGGGTGTAGTGAAATGCTTGTGCTTCTAGCATCCTGCCCCTCGAGGGCCATTCAGAGAGAAGGGGGACTCTGGGTCCCTGGGTTCATTGGCTTCAACATGGGTGACCTACAGTACTGAGGCTAGTTGTATAGGAAAGGATGTAGTAGCTTAAACTTTAGCTTGTAAGACCTTGAACAGAAGATTTAGCCTCTTAGTCTCCCATTGCCATCAATGCATGACTAAGTGAAAATTCCTCTTAGGTGGACGTTAGGACCTGCCTCTCAAACAGTAAGTCTGTATTTGAACAGAGTGACACAAGTAATAAAACACAATAGTAAGAAATGGTTCAACACCATATCCAAAGAGGCTGACCTGTCTTGAAGACCTCGTAGCGCACGGAGAATCCAGCCCCGGGAGATTCGTAGTCGGACACAAACTTGATTAGGAGCTGGCTGCCGATGGAGATGATGGGGGAGGGGGCTATCTTCCCACAGAACTTCCCCAGGGTCGGAGCCTGCTCGTCTCCACCGTTAAACACCTCCACATAGTCATACCTGAGGACACAGAGAAGAGTGTAAGACTTACTTATTGTACAACACTGCTGCAGTAGCTAAACAATAGCGAAACAATAGTGAAACAGTAGCTAAACAATAGTGATACAGAGCATTATTTAGGTTTGGAGGTTTGACCCCAGCACAGGGCCTCAACCTTCTGCAATTAAGGAAAATACATGGTTATAGAGTGGTATGGTGAGGTCGCTTGTGAGAAACTGTACTGAGGGTCCATACCCACCGGGAGGGTTATGATAACAAGAGAATGAACATGAGGAAACATGAGAATGTTTGAACTCCCACAGGGTAGTAGGCTACAGGGATGACTTCATCTATCTCTGTTATCAGTGTTCCATGGGAAGCCTGAGGCATACAGACAGTATCACTTCATACAGCTTCATCTCATCTTTTAGACCACCTCTGGGTCAGCTTACAGAGATGATTCTCTCATCTCTATAGCAATAGAGTGTGTGTATGTGACTGTGATTGTGATTGTGTGTGTGTTTGTGTGTGTGTGTGTACTGTATGTGATTATGTCTGCGTGTGAGTGTGTGAGAACCCAAATTCAACCCAAACCTTTCTGTACTATACTGTAGCTAATTCAATTAAACATCATTTGGTGTGAACTGTGAAGGCACCCTCTCTCTCATGTGTGACTGTGTTTGTGAAAGAATGTGAAGGTGAAATAGTGAGCTCATAGTGCCTGTTTGAGACACAGCCGAGCCAACAACCCTCTTCCTCTCTGAGCCAGCTGTGGAAACAGCTTAGGCCCTGCCCGTTCTGCACGAATAGGAATAGGGATATATCCCAAATTGCACCCTATTGTAGTGCAATACTTTTGACCAGGACCCATAGAGCTCTGGTCAAAGGTAGTGCCGTCAGAAAGTATTCATACCCCTTGACCTATTCCACATTTTGTTATGTTACAGCCTGAATTCACAATACACCATAATGGCAAAGTGAAATTTTAGCACATTTATTGAAATTAAATACAGAAATATTAAATTTACATAAGTATTCACACCCCTGAGTCAATACATGTTAGAATCACATTTGGCAGCTATTATAGCTGTGAGTCTTTCTGGGTAAGTCTCTAAGAGCTTTGCACACCTGGATTGTATAATATTTGAACATTATTCTTTTTTTAAATTCTTCAAGTTCTGTCAAGTTGGTTGTTGATCATTGCTACACAGCCATGTTCAAGTCTTGCCATAGATTTTTAAGCCGATTTAAGTCAAAACTGTAACTAGGCCACTCAGGGACATTCAATGTTGTCTTGGTAAGCAACTCCAGTGTATATTTGGCCTTGTGTTTTAGGTTATTGTCCTGCTGAAATATGAATTTGTCTTGCAGTGTCTGTTGGAAAGCAGATTGAACCAGGTTTTCCTCTAGGATGTTGCCTGTGCTTAGCTCTATTCCGTTTCTTTTTATCCTACAAAACTCCCTAGTCCTTGCCGATGACAAGCATGCGCATAACATGATGCAGCCACCACCATGCTTGAAAATATGAAGAGTGGTGTGTTGTGTTGGATTTGCCCCAAACATAACACTTTGTATTCAGGACATAAAGTTAATTTCTTTGCCACATTTTTTGCAGTTTTACTTTAATGCCTTGCAAACAGGATGCATGTTTTGGAATATTTATTATGTACAGGCTTCCTTCTTTTCACTCTGTCATTTAGGTTAGTATTGGGGAGTAACTAAAATGTTGTTGATCCATCCTCAGTTTTCTCCTATCACAGCCATTAAGCTCTGTAGCTGTTTTAAAGTCACCATTGGCCTAATGGTAAAATCCCTGAGCGGTTTCCTTCCTCTCTGGCAACTGAGTTAGGAAGGGCACCTGTATCTTTGTAGTGACTGGGTGTATTGATACACCATTCAAAGTGTAATTAATAACTTCACCATGCTCAAAGGGATATTCAATGTCATTTTTTTTTTTTTTACCCATCTACCAATAAGTGCCCTTCTTTGTGAGGTATTGGAAAACCTCCCTGGTCTTTGTGGTTGAATCTGTGTTTGAAATTCACTGCTCCATTGAAGGACCTTACAAATAATTATATGAACTTATTTAGGCTTGCCATAACAAAGTGATTGAATACTTATTGACTAAAGACATTTCAGCTTTTCATTTTTAATTAATTTGTAAAACATCCTAAAAACCAAATTCCACTTTGACATTATGGGGTATTGTGTGAAGGCCAGTGCATTTTCAATTCAGGCTGTAACACAACAAAATGTGGGAAAAGTCCAGGGGTGTGAATACTTTCTGAAGGCACTGTACAGCATTTTGAATTCAGGCTGTAACACAACAAAATGTGTAATAAGTCAAGGGGTATGAATACTAAGGCACTGTAGGTAACAGGGCGCCATTTGGGACATATCCTAGGCTTTACACACAGCTACTTCATCAGTTTGCCCAGGAGTTTGATTCTCTACATAGACAGCCCCATCAAGGTAAATTTGCAGAGGAATTTTTCTCTGTTGACAAGTTGTTTTCTCACGGCTAACAACATAAGCGCTTGTAAAAAGCTCGACATGAGTTTTTCTATTTTTAAATGCCCTTTTTCATGGCAACTACAGGAGGCCAGGTTTGTTTTGCTTCTCACATCTCTCACTGGGCTCTCAGGCACCTCTGTGTGTGTGTGTGCGTGTGTGTGTGTGTGTGTGTGTGTGTGTGTGTGTGTGTGTGTGTGTGTGTGTGTGTGTGTGTGTGTAATTGGGCTCTCAGCTGAGCTCTCTGGGTTTTGGTTTCTATGTGTAAACCAGACTGCTAACACATTTATTTATTTTAGTTATTTTACCTTTATTTTACCAGGCAGGTCAATTAAGAACGAATTCTTATTTACAATGACGGCCTGGACATGTGGACTAATAGCACCTACTCTAACCACATGAACTCTCAATGTGAACACATGAACAGTTCAGCATTTTATGAATCCTGTATAGTTGTCTCTTCCCAATCCCATGACTACTGTCTAAGCAGGCTTGATGATGACGACGGCTGTCTCTGTCCCACTCTCAAAAAAACCTTCCCATCCTCAAGTGGATTAAAGATCACCAATAAAGGGTTTCCACCTCTCCTCTTTTTGCATGGCCCAGTTGGTAGAGCATGGCGTTTGCAACGCCAGGGTTGTGGGTTCGATTCCCACGGGGGGCCAGTATGAAAATGTATGCACTCACTAACTGTAAGTCGCTCTGGATAAGAGCGTCTACTAAATGACTAAAATGTAAAATGTAAATGTAGCCTGGCTGGCTCCATGTATCCTAACTGTCACACACACACATAATCAAACGTTTTTCTTGTATACTGAGTATATCATGTACAATTATAATTAATATGCTTTGTTTAACTGATTGAACAAACTTTTTTTTTGTTGTACTTATATTTGTGGTGGGGTTTTCATATAAGCCCTTTTGGGCTTCCAACCTCACCTGCACACCGTTTTTACCAGTTGTTTTATCTGTACTGTTTTGCCTTTCACTTCTTTTCTTTGGTGCGAATAAATAAAAAAATCCAAAAAAAAACATATGGGAAGGGAGGGGGAAAGATGGGGTTGGCCCAATTTCACTGCTAAAGGAGTGGGGGGGGGGGGAGAGAGAGAGAGAGAGACGAGGGAGGAGGAGATGGAGAGAGAGAGAGGAGAGGAGCTGAGGAGAGAGGAGCGAGAGAGAGAGAGAGAGAGGAGAGAGAGAGAGAGAGAGGAGAGAAGAGAGGGAGGAGAGAGAGAGGGGAGAGAGAGAGATGGACAGGGAGATGGAAAGGAGGAATGGATTAATGATAGGCTATTGATTTTGAGAGAGAGTGAAGAAAAGGGCAACCAGTGAAGACCAAACACCATTGCAAATACAACCCATAGTGATGTTTATTGCACATTGTTACAACACTGTATATATACATAATATGACATTTGACATGTCTCTATTCTTTTGGAACTTGTGTGAGTGTAATATTTACTTTTTATTGTTTATTTCACTTTTGTTTATCCATTTCACTTGCTTTGGCAATGTAAACATATGTTTCCCATGCCAATAAAGCCCCTTGAATTGAATTGAATTGAGAGAGAGAGAGCGAGCGAGAGAGAGCGAGAGAGAAAGTAAGAAAAACAGATTTGTTTCTGTCTGCACCAGTGGGGAGGCACAGTGTTACATTCTGTTCTAAGACACACCATTTGCAGGGATGCATCTAATTTTAGGGCTGGGGAGTGACCGGGAGTGACTGAGTGAGTTTGTCCTGTGAGTGTGTCTCTTGTCTCTACCAATGATGTTAGTTAGACTGTTAGCTAGGCAGTGAGAACCATGAACTCAATTACAGATGGCTTGACCCATTTCTCTCCTTCCTTCTCTCTCCCTGTATATTTGTAGGTCATATCACCAAGACTCATCATCACACCCACATCCGGTACGTCACATGTTGAACGCGGGAGAGCTCGGTTTGTTGTTTTGAAAGTTTTGAAAGTCTCTGGAAAAGTATTCTATTAAAAAAGTTTGGTTATTAGCTAGCTTCAGTGCTTTCAGAAAGTATTTATACCCCTTGACATACAGCCTGAATTCAAAATGGATTAAATATTTTTTTTTTTCTCACCAGTCCACACACAATACCCCATAATGACAAAGTGAAAACATGTTTTTAGAAATGTTTGCAATTGTATTGGAAATGAAATACAGTATCTCATTTACATAATAATTCACACCCCTGAGTCAATACATGTTAGAATCACCCTTGGCAGCGATTACAGCTATGAGTCTTTCTGGGTACGTCTCTAAAAGCTTTGAACACCTGGATTGTACAATATTTGCACATTATTATTTTCAAAATTCTTCAAGCTCTGTCAAATTGGTTGTTGATCATTGCTAGACAACCATTTTCAAGTCTTGCCATAGATTTTCAAGCAGATTTAACTAACTCGGCCACTCAGGAACATTCACTGTGTTCTTGGTAAGCAACTCCAGTGTAGATTTGGCCTTGTGTTTTAGGTTATTGTCCTGCTGAAAGGTGAATTAATCTCCCAGTGTCTGGTGGAAAGCAAACTGAACCAGATTTTCCTCTAGGATTTTGCCTGTGCTTAGTTCCATTCTGTTTCTTTTTATCCTGAAAAATTCCCCAGTCCTTAACGATTACAAGCATCCCCATAACATGATGCAGCCACCACCATGCTTGAAAATATGGAGCGCGTGTCACGAACGTTGAGAGACGGGTCGGACCAAGGTGCAGCGTGAAAAGCGTACATGTTTATTAACTAATTAAACATTCAACAAAACAAGAAACAACGTAACGTGAAGTCCAAAGGGCTATACACATACCAGCCTAACAGGAACAAGATCCCACAATACACAGTAGGCAATGGGCTACCTAAGTATGATCCCCAATCAGAGACAATGAGCGACAGCTGCCTCTGATTGGGAATCATACCCGGCCAGACATAAAAATAGAAAAACTTGAATCTAAACATAGAATGTCTAACATAGAATTCCACACCCTGACTCAACAAACAAAAGTTCTATAGGTCAGGGCGTGACAGCGCGATACTAAAAGTTAATTGCTTTGCCACATTTTTTGCAGTATTACTTTAGTGATTTGTTGCAAACAGAATGCATGTTTTGGAATATTTGTATTCTGTACAGGCTTATTTATTTTCACTCTGTCAATTAGGTTAGTTTTGTGGAGTAACTACAATGTTGTTGATCCATCCTCAGTTTTCTCCTATCACAGCCATTAAACTGCAACTGTTTTAAAGTCACCGTTGGCCTCATGGTGAATTCCCTGAGTGGATTCCTTCCTCTCTGGCAACTGATAATGGATAATATGTGTGCAAAGCTTGATAATGTGTGTGATGTTAACAGAGAGGTCTATTCTCTGGGTGACTTGAACATTGACTGGTTAGCAACTAGCTGTCCTCTCAAGAGGAAGCTTCTAACTGTGACTAATAATAATGTAATATGACCCAGGTTATCACTCAACCAACTTGAGTGCATACCAATAGTGTTGGATCTGTGGCATTCACTTGTATTGATCATATTAAATCAGTAGTTAATCATATTGAAAGTCAGTAGTTAACTTCGCTGAAAAATAGCATTGTACTTGGTCAAACACAATCCTCTCCATCAGTTTACTAAGAACAGTTTACCAAGAACAGGCAGCAAACTGATTGGGCGGCTGTTATAGCCAGCAAAGGGTGCATTACTATTTTTAGGCAGTGGAATTACCTTAGCTTCCTTCAATGCCTGTGGACACACACTCCTTTAGGCTTTGGTTAAAGCTGCAATAAGTAACTTTTTGGGCGACCCGACCAAATTATCATAGAATGTGAGTTATAGATCTGTCATTCTCATTGAATGCAAGTCTAAGAAGTGGTAGATATGTTCTATGTGCGCTATTTCTTTGTTTTGTCACATAAACTGAAATTAGGCGAACTATTCGAATTTCCGCAGCCAGGAAATGGTGGAGCGATTTCTGCATAGTGCAGCTTTAAAGGTGTAGCAAATAGGGGTCGCAATACAGTCTGCTACCATTCTCAATAGTTTCCCATCAAGTTTGTCTTTACCTGGTGGCTTATCATTATTCATGGTAAACAATCGTTTTTCCAACTTTCCCACACTAACTTGACCAAATTCAAAACAGCAATCCTTCTCTGTCATTATTAGATATATATTTTTAATGTATATGATGGTTCAATGTTAATTGTTGTCATTTCACTTCTGAGCTTTTCTACTTTATTAGTGAAATAGTCATTGAAATGATTGGCAATATCGAAAGGTTTTGTTATAAATGAAAAACAGAATACGGATGCCTGATGAAGATCTAAGGGTGGAAACGCTGTTATAAATAAATATCACCTGGGATGTAAATGTAAAATGAGTATGAGCAGCAGTGTGCGGCGTTTTCCTTTCTGTACTCAAAAGTATTTTTTCATTTTGTTTTATTTAATGTATCTTTGTTTGGTAATATAATGTATTCTTCTTTTTGTTAAGTTTAGTCACAAAATGTCTCAATTTACAGTATGTCATCCAATCAGCTGAGCAGGCTGACTTGTTTGCCACCTCTTTTGGATCATTTCTTTGAGCCATACCATTTTTCAATTCATCATCAAGCCAGGGGACTCTAACAGTTCTCACAATTGGTTTCTTAACAGGTGCATGCTTGTCAACAACTGGCATGAATACTTTTACAACTACTTCCAGTGCTGCATCTGGATTGACTTCCTCATACACATCAGACCAACATACATTTTTTACATCTTCAACAAAAGAGTCCTGAGAAACCATGTTGACAAAGTCTTAGAAATTACTTAGTACAAAAATCAACTGTACTAGTGGTTCAGGCTTTGGTCTTGTCCCATCTTGATTACTGTCCGGTAATATGGTCAAGTGCAGCACAGAAAGACCTAGCAAAGCTGCAGCTGGCTCAAAACAGAACAGCACACCTTGCCCTTAACTGAACATACAGAGCTAACATCAACAACATGCATACCAGTCTTTCCTGGTTGAGGGTTGACGAGAGATTAGCTGCTTCTCTTCTAGGTTCTATCAGAAATATTACTGTGATGAAAATTCCAGATTGTCTGCTTAATCAAATAACATTCAGCCATACATACCCCACAAGACATGCCACCAGGGGTCTCTTCACAGTCCCCAAGTCCAAAACGAATTCACGGCAAAGTACAGTATTATACAGAGCCATGGTCACATGGAACTCCCTTCCATCTCCAATTACTCAAGCAAACAGCAAAATTACCTTTAAAAAACGGATTAAACAACAACTCATGAAACAGCGGGGACTGTGAGGGTACACACACACAAACACACACACTCTATCACACAGGCTCACACTAACACACAGACACACAGACACACTAACACACAGACACACACTAACACACAGGCTCACACTAACACACAGACACACACTAACACACAGGCTCACACTAACACACAGACACACACTAACACACAGGCTCACACTAACACACAAACACACACTAACACACAGGCTCACACTAACACACAGACACACACAGACACACTAACACACAGACACACTAACACATAGACACACTCTAACACACAGATACACTAACACACTAACACACAGACACACAGGCTCACACTAACACACAGGGTCACACTAACACACAGACACACACAGACACACTAACACACAGACACACTAACACATAGACACACTAACACACAGATACACAGGCTCACACTAACACACAGGATCACACTAACACACAGGCTCACACTAACACACATACACACACAGACACACTCTAACACACAGATACACTAACACACAGACACACTAACACACAAGCTCACACTAACACACACTAACACACAGACACACACTAACACACAGACACACTAACACACAGACACACACTAACACACAGGCTCACTCTAACACACAGACACACACTAACACACAGACACACACTAACACACAGGCTCACACTAACACACAGGCTCACACTAACACACAGGGTCACACTAACACACAGACAGACACACACTAACACAGAGACACATACACCATTTTTTTGTTGTATTGTTTGTATTATTTTTGTTGTATTGTTTGTATATCGTTGTATTTTAAATGTGTGCGACTGACCTTGTCTAGCAGTGTATCAGTGTTTTGTTACTTGTCATGTTTTGGTGTTTTTTGTGGACCCCAGGAAGAGTAGCTGCTGCTTCTGCAAAAGCTAATGGAGCTCCAAATAAACAAATAAACAAAAGTATGGCTACCGTTTTGTTTGACTGTCTGATGAGACATTACTCTGCCCTAAGGCAGGACCCAGCTGAGAAAGAGTGTGTCCATCTGTCGACAGTTTCCAGTTTTCAGCCTGTTCAACACTGCAGGCTGGATTAACCCTGTGCGCGGCTAGGTCAGTGGAATAACTAATGACTTGAGTTCTCCCAGCGAGAGGAGAGGATGGAGGGAGGCTGCTAGCCTAGCAGGCACACTGAGTCATTCCCAGTGTGCGTGCATGTGTGTGTGCCTGCAAGTATGTGTGTGTGAGGGTGGTGAAATTAAAGAAAAACTGGGCCTGTAACATTCCCATGATGCCTTTCAGATGATAGATGTTGGATTGAAAACAGTTGTTGGGGGGGAGGGTAACACAAGTAGCATTCGACTATTAAGGTGTTAGACTAGCACATTGAGCTGTTAGGGAAATCCTTACTGTAGACCAGAGGGCTACTATGGTTTCAAGCCCCAGATGGACTTGCTACTGTAGTGTGTGTGTGTGTGTGTGTGTGTGTGTGTGTGTGTGTGTGTGTGTGTGTGTGCGTGCGTGCGTGCGTGCGTGCGTGCGTGCGTGCGTGCGTGCGTGTGTGTGAGTTTGTGCAAAGCACTTACCAGACCATCCTCACAAGAGGGTATGAATAACCTAACCAGCAATTCTACTGGACAATATGAGGGCAATTAGGCTATATTCTGGAGCTGTAGCCTAAGTTTCTATTTAACAATGGTTTGAGGAAAGATTTTCAGTTGGTTAATTGGGCTGTCTCAGTGAGCAATGAAAGCCCCAAGTGTGTAGCCATCTGCATACTCTCTCCCCATGGCACTGCTTTTACGAGTCTATCTAATGGGGGCATGATGCACAGGAATAAAATACCATACGTACACAACATCACTGTAGGCTAGGCACTAGTGCTTTACTAGAGGGCACTTAAAATGCTTCCCACAGGTCAAATAAAGCCTGCCGTGAACAGAATGAATAGATTTTATAGTGCAAGTGTTCATTTCAGCATTGGAAACATATTTATGCCCTAAGCTGTCTGTGACCAATAAACTGCAGTCAGCCTGAGCGACTGGATGGCCTCGTCGAACTCTCGGTGCGGGTAGACAATCGGCATCGTGAGAGGGCGCATGAGATTGGGATGAGGTAAGGTGCGCCTCTGCGCCCCCCTATCAACCCGGAGGCTTTCCGCCGATTCAGGGAGGAGACGCCTCAGGAGGAGGCTATGCAGCTGGGTGCAGCGCTTGTCCAGGATGGAGAGGCAGAAGCGTCTGTGCCAGGGACGTTGCCTGTACTGCGGCCAGGCAGGTCACCACTGCGACTCATGCCCGGAGAAGCCGGGAAACGGGAGGGCTCGCTAGTATCGGGAGGGTCATGGGCCTGGACGGCCTGCCGTTGGGGTCGGGCTTCATCACCCGGCGCACTGTCCTGGTGCGTGTCTGGGTGGCGGGGGGGCTATGGGAGGATATCCAGTTTTTCATTGTGGACTCTCCGGAGTGTCTCCTCATCCTCCGGCACCCCTGGCTGGTCGCCCACAAACCCCGGATAGACTGGTCCACGGGGCGGCTCATCCTGGAGGGAGGCACCGCCCCCGTCCCGTTCCGGTCTCCACCGACCACTCATCAGCCCAAACATTTTACATTTTAGTCATTTAGCAGACGCTCTTATCCAGAGCGACTTACAGTTAGTGCATACATTTTCATCGTCCCAGACCACCTACCAGTCCTCACCTCTTCCGCAGGTCCCGCACTCCGAACCGCCTACCGCCCTAGTTGCGGTTGCTACCGGGAGGACGGCGGCTACAGACTCCGTCACCGGCCCAGACCTGGCAGGCGTTCCCCAGGAGTATTGGGATCTGGGGGAGGTGTTTAGTGAGAGGCGTGCCAAGGGCCTACCTCCTCACAGGCCATACGACTGCGCTATCGATCTCCTGCCGGGCACCATGCCCACACGAGGGCGATTGTTTTCCTTGTCCCGGCCGGAGACGCTGGCCATGAGGGAGTATATCAACGAGGCACTCGTCGAGGGTCACATCCGTCCCTCTACCTCACCCGCGGGTGCAGGCTTCTTCTTCGTGGGGAAAAAGGACGGTGGGCAGCGGCCGTGCATTGATTACCGGGCGCTCAACGACATCACGGTTAAGAACCGCTATCCACTCCCCCTGATGACGACGGCATTCGAGTCGTTGCAGGGAGCCCGGGTCTTCACCAAGCTGGACTTACACAATGCCTACAACCTGGTGAGGATTCGGGAGGGGGACGAGTGGAAGACGGCTTTTAACGCACCCAGTGGGCATTACGAGTACCAAGTCATGCCATTCTGTCAAGCCAACGTGCCCGTTTTTCTCCTGTCGGCTGTCCCCGGCGGAGCGGAATTACGACGTGGTCAAGCTCGCCCTGGGGGAGTGGAGGCATTGGCTAGAGGGGGGCGCCAATCCATTTGTCTTATGGTTGGACCATAAGAACTTAGCCTACATTCAGGGGGCCAAGAGGCTCAACCCGCGCCAGGCCAGGTGGGCGTTGTTCTTCACCAGGTTCGATTCGCCATCTCATACCATCCGGGGTCGAAGAGCACCAAGCCTTACGCGCTCTACCAGCAGTTCGACCCCGTGGACCTGGTGGAGAGGGATGACTGCACCAGTTTAGTGGGGAATCGATAGGCTGGTCAGAGCAGTGCTACGGCGGGAGCCCGATCCGGGCGGAGATCCATCGGGGAGGATGTGCATACCCAAGGCTGCGTGCTCGCGACTGCTTCAGTGGGCGCACGCGTCCGACCTCACCAGCCATCCGGGGGGTGCCAGGACATTGGAGTTCCTCCGTAGGAGGTTCTGGTGGCCATCTGCTGAGGGGGATACGCTCGCCTTCGTGGCTCCTTGCCCAGGTGTGCGCACGCACGAAGAGCTCACGTCAGCCCGCGGCAGGGCTGCTCCGACCCCTGCCTATCCCCAAGCGTCCCTGGTCCCACATCTCTCTGGATTTCATTTCCGCCCTACCCCCCTCTGATGGATACACAGTCATCCTGGTCATTGTGGACCGGTTCTCGAAGGTTTCCCACTTCATTCCCCTTCCCAAACTCCCGTCGGCTCGGGAGACGGCTAATTTGGTGGTGCAACACGTTTTCCGGGTCCACGGCCTTCCCCAAGATGTGGTGTCGGATCGGGGCCCTCAGTTCGCCTCCAGGTTCTGGAAGGCGTTCGCCACCTGCCTCGTCACCTCCGTCAGCTTGTCTTCCGGCTTCCATCCCCAGTCGAACGGGCAGACGGAGCGCGTCAACCAGGGGGGGCACTGTTACAGGAGGGGGTTGCAGTTCCGGAGCGACCCACTAGGTGTCATCCTCCGACAACCTTAGGCACCTCCTCACTCACAGTCTGGACTAATCAGTTTCCTATTGGTGTCACCTGTGTATTTATGCCCTCACTTCCCTGTGTTCCCTTGCTCAGTTTTCTCTGTTAGTTTCTCGATGTCCAGCAGTCCTACTCAGTGTCTGATCGGAGACCTATGTACAGGTACTTGAGAAGTGTTCTCCCTGTTTCGTTATTTGTTTCAGTCGTAGGTAGTATTTCGTATTTTTGGCTGTCATCCGGTTTTTGGAGACTTATTTGCTCTGCCTTTCTTTTATTGTGATAAGTCCGTTATTTTGTATTTTGGCTTCGGGACCACCAGTAAAGATCCTTGTTTCACCATCTCTGCCTACTGCCTACTGTATATCCTGCACCACACCTGGGTCACACCTCATACCAACCCTTACAATAGACAGACTCCCTTAAGGACAAGACACGGCATAACGAATGCCAGCTGCACACAGTAGATCAAATGCTGGGTGTCGGAGAACAATGTACCATCATTACCTCTTTAACAACAGAATGTTATTTTACGGGTCTAGCAAAGGTGCCCAGAAACAGTGTTAGACACTGTTAATGAGCACAACATAACCAAATAGCTGTCTGTTCTGGCATTGAACAAATAAATACAGTAAAATCGAACCTAGGGGGTCAACCACATAAAATGTGTCACTATCTATACCCGATGCCTCAGTCAGCGTACCCCTTAGGTTTAACAAACATTTAAAGGGTGTTCCCAAGTCTAAATCCTGAGAAAGGAGACTTATATACTGTACCTGGGAGAGGGCCCTTGCTCAAAAGTAGTGCACTATGTGGGGAATACGTTCCATTTGGGACGCATCCCAGACAGACAGACAGGGATGAGAGGAACAGACTGTTACTTTTACTCTGAAAGGAACACACTGTTATCTAAATGGGGCTTACTGGGCTTTCTGATTGCAGCCGGCTGGCCACAAACACCTCTGGTTTCAGCCTTGTAGTGTCTGACACACCCCGAGATGGAAACATGAACATGGTGACTGGAGTCCTCATGATGACTGGTGATCAAGGCTTTTTAAAATTAATATTATAGCACAACAACAACACAGTTATCTAGACATGAATGTTTGTCCTGGCGATCATTTTAATGTTTGTCCTGGTGATCATTATGTAGATGCCAATAATCTATTTCTACACCATCCACGTGGGCAGCCAGCCAGCCAGCCAGCCAGCCAGCCAGCCAGCCAGCCAGCCAGCCAGCCACACAGCAGTAACTCTTATTTTTAGATTGCAGCTGTACTCTAGTCCATTGCCTGTTCTGTTTTGATACAGGAGGAAGCCCAGATAGATAGATAACCATCTGTGTTGGTAGATAGTCCTATAGTCCTTCCTAACTACAAGCCATTGAGTGGCCGAGGGGACCTGATCTCCATCCCAAATGGCAACTATTCACTATACAGTATAGTTCACTACTTTTGACCAGGGTCCATAAGGCTAATGCATTACAGATGTCCTATCTTAATTTGACCAGTTTCTCACAGCAGGGAAATAATGCTGCATCAACAGGAAATGAATAAGTGGATTATAATATATACTTGTGAAGGGGTTTATATATGTTTAGTTAGGATAAACCAAGTCTGACATTTTAAAGTGGAAATTAGAAACTTTAGAAGCCTTTTTAAACCTTGACTACACAAAAATGTGAATTTCCTGCTGCGCTGGAAAATTCTCTGCGACAACAGACTGATCAAGTTAAGATAGTACATCTATATATAAGGAATAGGGTTCCAATTTGGGACGCAGGTCTGATCACCAACTCCTCCACAGCCGTATCGAGAATGAGTCTCAGTAGTCAAGAATCAAAGACGTCTGCTGTCCTCTCCTCTCCTCTCCTCTCCTATAAACAATGCTGCTTTATGAGTTCAGACAGACTGGGGGGTCAGCCTGAGGGCCTGTTCTTGTGTTGGGAGCAGATACAAGGAATTCCTCCATGCCACTCGTGATAGAGAGTTATTATCCACCAGGGTCCCTGTTGTTGGTGGGCGGCTAACCCTAACCCTGGCTCCAGAGGATGGGCTTCCTGTCTGTCTGACTCTGGATGAGTCTCAAATGGCACCCTATTCCGTATAGATTTCACTACTTTTGACCAGAGCCCTATTTGCCCTAGTCAAAAGTAGTGCACTATGTAGGGAATAGGGTGCCATTTGAGACACCCTCTGCAATGCTGAAGTGATATAGACCATCGGCTCATCCTCTCATCCTCCCTTTAACTGAGGACACTAACTGGGTGACCGTCTGACTCCCCTTTGACCCCTTAAGAGACCCTGACCCCAGCGGTAAGAGGTCTCCCTGCATTCCTATGGCCTTTTTTGTCCACTATGAAATCACCAAAAGCTAGAATGACATGATCCAAACAGAGCAAAAAGGCACTATTGCACTATTTTTAGCTGATTAGTTCATTGAGTTTGTTATTCAGTGTCTCGTGATTGTTGTTGGCACAGAAACACACACATCATGTTACCATGGTAATAGGACAATATTACTATTCACAGTGAACTCTGGGAGAAACTCATTGTCAAGGGGGACAGACTGTGTACAGACAGGCTGTAGACAGCAGACCTGTGTTCAATACTATTTTAAATCTTTCAATTACCTTGAACGTTTGCTGCCTGGAGTGCCAGAGGATCTGGGTTTGCAGTTATGCTCCTATTCTATTGGTCTACTGAAGCAAGGCAAGTTCAATCAAGCACAGATTAATTATATATATATATATATTTTTTATAATCCTTAAACCCAGT